CCCGCTGCGGCTCCGAGCGGCGGTTGCGTTTCCCCCGCGACGAGCCGGGAAGGCCGGATATGTTAAAAATAAATTTTAAAAAAATTAAAATAAAAAGAAAAGTCGCCGTTCGTGCCCTCAGGGCTCCCGGCACTGAACCGCTTCGCACACTGTAGGAACATTGAGAGCGCTGAGTCACAGAACGCTGCGGGGGAGAAGCCCTCAAAGAACCATCCCCAGCATTGCCAAGACCACCAGGGACCGATGTCCCTAAGTGCCACGTCCACAAGATATTCAAACCCCTCCAGTGATGAGGATCCACCACTACTGCCCTGTTTTAAACCCCTCCAGGGATGAGGATCCACCACTACTGCCCTCGGCAGTTTGTGCCAGGGCTAAACAGGCCATTCGGGGAAAAAAAATCCCAACATTTCCAATATACAGCCTAAACCTCCCCTAGCACAATGTCAGTGACAAAGCAGCAGGGACACTGTGTGTGACAGCACCGACATGAGCTGGACTGTACCTCAGCTCCCTCCTGGGTGGCACAAGGCACTTCAGCAGGGGTTGATGCCCACATCTGGGGCAGTGGAATATTCCTGAAGGGCTGCCAGGGCATCGAGCACATGGCTGGCTCTGCTCCACCAAGACAGGGCAGGTCCAGGAGCCAGCATAACCCGGGATGAAGGGAAGCAAGGCCTGGGGGCAACCACAGAATGCTGGGCCTGGGTCAGCCCTGCATCTGTGATGTCATTATGGGGCACAGTCCAGAACCAGCAAGGGGGTTCAGTGCTGGATGTTTGGGGACAACACCAGAGTGCTCCACACACCTCAGCAAGGTCCACTGCCTCTGGCCCCAACGTGCGGGATAGCTTGGCACCTAGCAAATATTCACCCTCCGCCATGGAGAGGAAGATGAGCGATAGGAGTTGCAGCATCTCCAATGAACTCCGCCTGGAAGGGAGATTCTGTGATGTGATCATCAGTGTAGATGGGGTGGAATTCAAGGCTCACAAGCTCATCCTCTCTTGCTGTAGTATCTACTTCAGGTCAGTGCTTGAAGCACAAGGGGATGGGGACAAACAGTATGCCCTGGTTGAGGTCACCCCACCTCAGCACTTCCCCAGGACTTCCACCTGCCCTGAACCTCTCACCAGGTGATTTCCCATAGACCTGACACCTCCCTGAACACCAGGATTAATCCATGTACCAGTGGCTCTTGGCAGTGGTGTTGGAGGAGCCCAGACACAGCGCAGGGCTGGAGCCTGGCCCAGCTGCCACGGGGCAGCTTTGCCTTCCCCACACCCTGTGACTCTCTGGGGTTCCAGGCCAAGTGTTGGTGCTGCACCTGGGTTGGGGAACCCCCACCCCAGTGTCAGTCTGGGCTGGGGGATGAATGGATGGAGGGCAGCCCTGGGGAGAAAGGCTTGGGGTGCTGGTGGGTGAGAGGCTGAACACGCCCTGGCTGTGTGCACTGGCTCCCAAAACCCCCCCATTGTCCTGGGCTCATCCCCACACCGTGGGCAGCAGGCCATGGGGGGATTCTGCCCCTCTGCTCCTCTCAGGTGAAACCCCCTGCCCTGCTGCCTCCAGCTCTGGTGTGCTCCAGAGGCTGTGTCTCCTTTTTCAAACAAAACCAGCAAGTAAAACATTAATGAATAAACCATGGGGCCTCCCAGAATGGCTCCTGCCAGTGCCAAAACTGGTGTCCTGGGGACAGGGGGAGCACAGGGGATTCAGTGGCAGGGTTTAACACGGCAACACCAATGTTTTCAGGACTCTGTTTACCAACTGGGACAGCGCAGGCAAGATGGTCTATCAAATCCCTGGCATTTCAGCTGAAATGATGGGTCTCATCATCAATTACGCCTACACCGGGACAGTACCGATCACAGAGGACAACGTGGAGAGTTTGCTGGCTGCAGCAGATCAGTTCAATGTCATGGGCATCGTCAGCCTGTGCTGTGAGTTCCTCAGTTCCAGGCTGTGCTTTGAGAATTGCATTGGCATTTGCAGACTCACTGACTATTACCACTGCCCCGACCTGCGCGCAGCTGCCTGCGTGTACATCCTGCATCACTTCGAGGAGGTGTCCCAGGTGTCCGAGGAGTTCCTAGACCTCTCTGCCGAGGAGCTGGCACACATCATTGAGAAGGATGAGCTGAACGTGCGGCGAGAAGAAGCCGTGTTTGAGGCTGTGCTGAGGTGGATCGCTCATGACCCGCAGAACAGGAGGCAGCACATCGCCTGCTTGCTCAGCAAGGTGGGTGCAGAGCAGCTTTGGAGCTGTCCCCAAAGGCTACTGAGGGGAAACCATCAGGATCTATTGGAATAATTACCAATGTTGCTGGACAGGATGTGCCTGAGCTTGTCTGGTCCTGCTGCTGAACCAAACAGCGGCACTGTGGTGTTTCACCCCAGAAACACTTTTGGCTGGCTGGGTGTGTGGTGTTTCACCCCAGAGACACTTTTGGCTGGCTGGATGCTGCAGCTGGGTGCTTGGAGGCAGCTCCAGGCCTGCAGGAGCTCTGGTGGTGGTGGGATGGAACTTCCCCCCACAACAGGGTCTGCTCCTTGGGTTTACCTCTGTTGGAGCAGCTTTAAGGCAATGGTGAAGGAAAGGAGTTGGTTCTGATGGAGGGTTTGGACCCAGAGCTTTATTCTGGCCCACAGGCCTCTGAAACCATCAACTGCTCCAACAGAACTCCCCAATCCCTGTGGTTTGCTTGCCCTTTTACCCGGGGGAGAGGGGAAGGAAAGGAATATGGGGACCACCAACCAGGTACAGGAGGGGAGATCTCAAGGGACAAAGGACACCTGGATGGCCCAATGCCCCCCAGGGGTAGAGGGCATCCTTTGAATCTGCCAATCACTCGATGCCTTTCTGGAATGCCGGGATTGACAGACAGTGCTGGGCAGGGGTTAGGGTGTGGAAGGGATTGATTGACACACCTGGCAGGGAATCTTCAGGGAGAAACCCGGGATATCTGAGGCAAACCATGACATCACACCACAAGTGTTAGTATTCCAACCTCCTCCTTGCCTGCTTCAGGTTCGACTGGCACTCCTACAATCCGACTACTTCATGAACAACGTCAAAGCTCACGAGTACGTGAAAGACAATGCCAACTGCAAAGATCTCATCATCAGTGCCCTGTCCGAAATCTACGACCTGAACTCCTACGGCCAGAGTTCCTCAGTCAACGCCAACCCCCTCACCCGGCCGCGCCTGCCCTACGCCATCCTCTTTGCCATCGGGGGCTGGAGCGGCGGCGGCGCCACCAGCGCCATCGAGACCTACGACGGCCGCACCGACAAGTGGCTGAACATCCCCTGGGAGCAGGAGAGCCCTGTTGCCTATCATGGCTCGGCTTATTTGAAAGGCCACGTCTACGTTATCGGTGGATTCGATGGCACAGATTATTTCAACATCGTCAAGCGCTTCGATCCGCTGCAGAAGACGTGGCAGCAGGTAGCGCCCATGCACTCACGGCGCTGCTACGTCAGCGTCACCGTTGTGGACAACTTCATCTATGCCATGGGAGGGTTTGATGGCTACATGAGGCTCAACACAGCGGAGCGCTATGACCCAGACACCAACCAGTGGACCCTGATCACCCCCATGCACGAGCAGAGGAGCGACGCCAGTGCAACCACGCTGAATGGAAAGGTAAAGTAACCCCAGATGAGAGAAGCTGGATTTGCAGCATAAGAAAAGTTCACATAAACCTTCACTAAATTTGTAACACTTAAATTCATAACAATTTATGAAATCCTGGAGCTGCAGATATAAAGTAGCCTGCCTGGTGTGGCAGTAACCAGGAGTACAAAAACTCTTCCAGAGCTACTGCCAACCTGGTGCCCAACAGCCCTTTTCCTGGCCATAGGTGCAATACTGGGCCTGTCTGCTTCATGCAGCTTGGAAAATCAAGAGTAGAAATCTTGCTGGCATCAACTCTTTGCACTGCTGCTACTTCAAACCCAGGATGACAAGACCATCCCCACTCTAAAACAGAACACCCCAAAAATCCTGCTACAGCATTCATGTTTCCTCACCAAGGGTCTAACCACCCCATTCACACTTTCCCACCTCTCCTGTCCCCAGGTGTACATCTGTGGTGGGTTTGATGGTGATCAGTGCCTCAGCTCAGCTGAAGTCTTCAACCCCACCACAAACCAGTGGTCCCTGATCGCCCCAATGAGCAGCAGGAGAAGTGGAGTTGGGGTGATGGCGTATGGGAACCAGGTGTACGCGGTAAGGGCCAACACCCCCCAGCACTGCAGTCCCTGGGGTGGCTGCAGCTCCCACACCTCCAGGGTGGCCATGTGTTGATGTGAGGTTTAGGGAAGTCAGAGCCAGAACAGTTGATGCACTTCCTGAGAATGTTATCACCCACCACACGCTTTTGGGTATAAAAAGGGTGTTTGGCAATGTTTAAGCAGCTGCAGCAAAGAACGTAATTTCTGCCGCTGCCAGCAGCATCAGCAGCACAGAGCAGGGACTTGGGCCTGCTCATCCATTGTTTATCCTCTCCATGGACTGCATCCAGCCTCTGGAGAAATATCAAAATTGACAGTTGCATAAAGTGCTTTGGAAAGCTGCTCAGAGAGGAGGGAGCAATAAGCAAGAACCATGCTCAGAGATCTGGTGCTCTTGGTCCTGCCCAGAGATCTGGTGCTTTCTGCCTTGCTCAGAGATCTGGTGCTCTCTGCCCTGCCCAGAGATCTGGTGCTCTCTGCCATGCCCAGAGATCTGGTGCTCTCTGCCACGGTTGGAGATCTGGCGCTCTCTGCCATGCTCAGACTGCAGCCAGGGCGGCAGAGCAGTTCCCATCTCACTGTACCTGCCAGGACCTGCCTGAGGAAAGGCCCCTCTCAGTCTCTGTCCCTTTGGCATTCCCAGGTCGGAGGGTTTGATGGGAACAGCCGGCTGCAGAGCGTGGAAGCGTACAACCCCATCGCCAACGCCTGGCACGCCGTGCCCTCCATGCTAAACCCACGCAGCAACTTTGGCATTGAGGTGATGGACGGCCTCTTGTTCGTGGTTGGGGGCTTCAATGGGTTCAGCACCACCGTTGCCACCGAGTGCTACGAGGAGGACACCAACGAGTGGTACGATGCCCACAGCATGGGCATCACCCGCAGCGCCGTCAGCTGCTGCGTGGTGCCAGGACTCTCCAATGTCATGGAATACATCGCCAGGCAACACTACTACCAGCACAGCTCCTCCATGGACATCTTGTTCACCAGCTCAACTCGGAGCTCGCCGTTGTAAATAGTTCCCCTTAGCTAGGAGTGTTGTGATCAGCCATCACTGGATGCTTGTGTAAATAGTTCTGCGTATCTAATAAAGTCTTCTGAGCATCCCACCACTGGATGCCTGTGTAAATAGTTGTCTTTTAGGTAATAAAGTCCCCGTGGCAGCAAGGGAGAATGTTCCTTTGTTCTAAAATAGAAACAATTGTAACAGGCCAAAAGGATCATTAGGAGTTCAAATTTTCACTCAAAAGCACTACCCAATGTATCAGCCACACCCTATACACTGACTTAAAAAAATCAAAAGCACAACAGAATGCTAGAGAAATAAAAGGTTTATTTTCATTAATTCACCTCTTACAATAAACTTTAGTACAGTGTATTTAAGGTCAAGAACAGGACAGCAGGATCTGTTTCAAAGGGCCTGTGACACACACAACTTTACCTCACAGCTAGGGACAGGAGTGCTGCTCCCCAGGAAACTGCTATCCCTCTGTTAATGTGCCAGGAGAGCAGAGCTGCTGCAACCCACAGTGACATGGACCCACGAAGAGAACCTGACTATTAATGGTCATCAAACAGCTCGTTAGTTCCACACTCTACATTCATATTAGTAACAGGGTTAGATCCTCAAGAGCACCTGTTTTATCAGATTTCACCCAGGACTGTCAAAGGGGAGATGGCTTGTACCCCAACCTAAGGTGGACAGAGCTGAAAATAAATCCAAGACCACTTTCTTTACACTTGCTTTTCAAAGCCCATTGGATGTTACAACATCCTGTTACAAGGCTGTAATATTAAGAACAGAGAAAGTTCTAATTCCTTGGGACTGGGTTTGTTTTCAGCCACCAGGGTATTTCACAACACAAAAGACGAGCCAAGAGTTTGGATTTTAATATTTACTGTAATGGAGAAAAATGTGATTGCAATAGTCAAGCAGAATGCTGGGTACAGTTGTTCACAGCACATGAAACATGTTTGCTTCATCTGTGGAATGGACTCCCACTGTGTGCAAGGGAGTCCATTAAAAACACAACCCCTCTAATGGAGTATCCAGGTAGTTATAAAATATTATGTACACATATGGCCCCTGGGAGTTACCAAAGTGACCACTACCACCTGGCAGGGGGTAAAGAAAAGCAGAAAGCCAGGACATGTCACGTGTTTGGTGGCAGGTATCAGGACAGGTGTAGAGGTGTGATTGTCCTAAGGAGGAGGAAAACTCCCCCAATGTCCTTTTCCCTCAGTGAGGCAGCAGTCAGCCTTCTCACCCTTACTGAACACACACTGCTGACAGCTGAGCAGCCTCCAGAAACACACGTGAGGAATTCCCAGGCTTTTGTTTATGGGATCATTTCATAAACACCCAGCAAGATAGGGTGGTCAAGGGCACAAGGAAATTGCTATGGATTCACAGGCTTGTGGGCTAAACTGCAGCCAGAGCCACGAATGCAATTCTCCCACCATCTCCTGTGATGCAATGAATTATTTATTTGATCTATCAGTCACAAACCACACCAGTGCCACTGGTCCCCTGGAATTCAAGGCTAAAACACCCCAACTGCTTAAAACTATCCCAGAAGTGGCAGAGCAAACACTGAGAGCAGCCTGTGCTGCTGCCAGCCCCCACCCCAAGCACGTGGAGGGACAGCAAGGCACACACAGCATGCAGCTGGCACACACAGGTTACCTGTCCATGATGGGGCTGCCTCTCAGGGGAGTGCTTTGAGTAAATGCCACAGCTTGTCCAGCAGCCCAGAGTCCTCCTGGGAAGTGCAACATCAATTTTGCTTAGAAAAAGCAAGACTGCAAGTTTGTTCTTGCCTCTTTGTTGCACAGTGCCATGCATTAAATATTCAGGTTCTATTCCAACTGAAAGAACCATCTTGGTGTTTCTCCCTACAGATTGTCTGTATTTGAGGAGAGGCTACAAGAGAGCTTGGAGAGAGCTGTGGTGGTGACCTACGACTCCCCAACTGCCTGTTTAATCCCTCCAGCTGGTTCAGCAGGGTGGAGGACAGAACTCCTCTTAAGTATCTTAAAATCAGCTCCCACAAATTGCTGTAACATTGATGGATTCAGCACCAGAGCCATTTGCATTTTATCACAAACTGCTGCAGGAGCAGCAATTCCATATCTACTCCAGCCAGACCTGCAAGGGTCCATGGATCAACCCCAGCTTACAAACCTGCAGCAGCTGTTTGGGAACAGGCACCTGCAAACATCACCTTAAACTCACCTAAACTTCCTCTTGCATGAAGCCAGTTGGGACTTCACCTGCCCCAACAACAAAACAGGCAAAGAAAATAAAACATGGTTACCACAGAGGAGTAAACCAAGAAAAACTGTTCAGAATTTCAAGTCTGGTAGTTTTTTTAACTAAGGCTGGAGACTTCTCACAAAAAGACAAGCTGTTGATATCAAAGTGGCCCACGAACCACAAAGTGGAGCACTGGGGGACGCACACATCAGAGAAACCTTTACACACTGAGTGGTGGAAAGACTTACCCCAAGTTTCAGATATGATCTGGGCTGCCTCTTGAACTGGAAAAGGAGAATGAGCAGCTCAGGAAGCAAAACAATTAAGACCAAAACAACCCCGAAATTGGTTAAAAGTTCTTTGCAAAGAACTAACCCACAGCAAAACCACCAGCAAATCATCAACGAACCAAGAACAGTAAGAGATTTTCCAGAAAGGTTTGTCTACACAAATTTTGTAATACCCAGGTTACTCCTCCCATTCCCTTCCCTAAGATCCTGAGTTAAGACTGCATGGAAAAACCTGGAACATTCAAAAGAAGGGAAGGATGGGGAGAAAAGGAGGTAGGAGGTATGCACTGAAACTGTTGGTAAATGAAAGGTCCTGGAGCTTCTTGGATGGGGAGAAGGAGTGCTCAGTGGGGCAGAGAGACAGGGATACCCCAAAGGGACTATCCCACATTCTGTTTGTTCCCTGGGAGTGCAGCAGGAAGCATCCAGAGCCAACCAGGGCATTTGCAAAGTACAGCCACCCCAAAATGCCAAAAGGTGTTCAAATGAGTTTGAATGTCACCCCAGATCAAATGGGGAAATTCAGATACCTGGAGACTCTGAAAGCCCAGCTCTCCCCCCTGCAGGAGCACAGCTGGGAGCCCCTTGGGACAGCACAGGAGGGCAAAAGGGTTCTGATTGTCAGAGAGAGGCTGGGAACAGCAGGGGCTCTTTCATCACTTTTCACTAGAATGAAAACATTTGAGAAAAGACCTACAAGTAGCTCAGGTTTCACTGCATTCCCATGAAATAATCCCACTCTCACCGATCCACTCTGACAGAACTGAGCAACCAGTGTGGGTGGGTGGCTCATGGCTGGGTGTCACTCCTTTGCTCAGGCTGTTGACCCAAGTTTTTGAGTCAGAGACAGACTCAAACCTGCAATACACCTGAAAAAAAATCCACTGCCTCAAGCTCTCTTTTAGCAAGTGTTTTGTGTCCAACCAATCATCCATTTAAAAACAAACTCTGCAGCCTCTCTACAACACACAAATACAAAATATTTAATACACATAGAAACATCCTGAAGTAATTTCATAAAGAAAGATTGTGCTTTTGTTTCATACAGAGCTATTGCACTTGCCTCCAGCTTGGGAAAGCCAAGTACACCAACACCAATCCTGTGAAGTTTAGTCACTGAGGAGAGAATCAAAGGAATGTCAAGAGATAAGTGCAAATGAAACAGGTGCTTTCAAGCACACACAAATGTAACCACTAAATTATTAAGAGAGAGATCTTTGATTTCCCAAGTAGAACTGTTAGAGACTAACTCTACAGAAATCCTTGGAACCAAAGATCTGAGGAAAGAAGTAACAGGCTTAATGCTCCCAGAGACATTTCACAGCCCGATACAGGCTACAGCTTTTCCCTGGGCATCATTAAGGAATACTGCTGGATTCATGGAGTGTCTCAATTCCCACCCACCCTCAACTTCTGAGCTTCTGAATTTTCAGTACACAACAGATGCTGGTTTTATGCATCAAATCAAATCCACACCCTCATGTCTTATAAAGACACATCAAGCCTAACAAATGGGTTTATTTCCTAGGCTCATCAGGAGTGACACTGCAGACACTAGCACTCGATCTGGGAGCGCGGCATCCTCCGTAAGCTCAGGGAGTATCGGTGGATCTCCTGCATCTGCCTTTCCTGCATCTGCCTGATTCTATCTTTTTGCCACATGAGATTTTGTGGCATGGGGTACCTCTGTGTTCCCTGCAGGCACCTGAAGGGGATTCTCACGTGGCAGGCAGTGGCTCTGCAGCGGGGCTGTGGCATGGGGGGCAGGAGCATCCAGCGCTTGCGCTCGGCGCAGTAGCGATAGGCCTCCTTCCTGTACTGCTTGTCAATGTCATCGCTGTTCTTCCAGCCCCCAATGATAAACACGTCATCTTTGTAGTAACAAATAGCTGCTCCTTCAATGCTCAGCACCTCAGGGGGCAAGGATTCCAGGATTTCATCCGAGGCCCTGCTGGAGATCTTTCCCTTGGCCTCCTCGTTGTCTATGGGGTAACTCTTGGGGCAGCACGATGCCGTGTGGTAGAAGTTGGTGCTGGCCACAGACATCTGGAAGGAGCAATAGTTGTCGATGAGGGGCAGGGATTCCACGTCTTGCCACTGCCTGGTTTCAGCATCATATCTGATAATAACAGCCCTGAGCCCGTCCTCGCTGTCGCTGTCAACCGGGGTGCGGGCGGCCACGTACACGTACCGGTCCTCCACGGAGACAGCCTTGACATCCCGCAGGATCTTTGGTGCCGACTCCAGGTTCAGCCATTTGTCCTGCTCAGGATTATAAATGGCCACATCTTTAAAGCCTGGACTGAAATTGCCGTGCCCGCCAATACTGTACAAGTTGCCTTTCACTTCAGTAAGGCCAAAGGAATGCTTCCTGGTGATGAGGTTTGAAACCTGCTCCCAAATATTTCTGTTTGGATTGTACCTCTCCACAGTCTTGGCAAAGCCTGGTTCCATGGAGCCGGCCACATACACATAGGACTCTGTCACGGCCACAGCGTGCCCATCCAGGTGGTTGTGGATGTGAGGCAGGTTCACCCACCTGTCCTCATCGATGAAGTAGCCCACGCACTCGCTCAGGTAGTCGCCACCCTCGGACACGCCGCCGATGACCATGATGACGTCCATGTTCTGGCCAAAGCGTGGCAGCAGTGCAGCAGGGCAGGCTGAGTGCTGCAGGTTCCCTGACTGCAGGTTCTCAGAGCGCAGGGCATGGCTCTCCACGGCCTCGGACACCAGCTTCACACAGGCCTCGCTGCTTGACACCAGCCGCTCGGATTTCACGTGGCGAGTCAGGTACGTGGGTTTCATCTGAGACAATCTTAGCAGCTTAAAGAGATCTTCAAAGTACCTCTCTCTTTCCTCAGGGTTTTTCTGAACCCACTTCAAAACAGTCTCAAAGAGGATTTCTTCAGAGTCCACCGTGATCTCCGAGTCTGAGAGCCAGTCGCGGACAAGGTGAAATGGCAAAGTGTAAAACTCCTCATCTTGGATGACTTTGTGGAAGTTCCTCCTGATCATATCCTGCGCTTTGAGGGCCAGCTGATTCAGGGAATACATGTGAGCCAAGCTGTGAACCGCCACACAGTTGGAAAGGTTCAGCTTCTTCTTCAGAAACTCTCCGCAGAAATCCTTCAACCGGGTCAGCAGAAACCTACAGACAAACAAGGGAGTTTTACATCCCTAGAGGTGTTCCAGGCCAGACTGGATGGGGCTTGGAGCAACTGGGATAGAGAACGAGTCCCTGCCCATGGCAAGGGGTGGAACGAGATGAACCTCTAAGGTTCCTTCCAACCCAAACCAGTGTGTGATCCTCTGCTGCAGTGACCCGGTCCCTGCCAGCCCCCGCCAGGGCCGCACTTACCTGTCCGCCATCTCCAGCACCTCATGGACGTTGCCGGGGCTCACGCGGATGGTGCCGGTGTACATGAAGCCGATAACGGCCTCCACCGTGTCGGGGTCGGGGCCGCCCTCCGAGCTCCACTTCTGCAGCTCCACGCGACCCGAGCGCGACTCCGCAAACCCTCCCGAGAGCAGCGGCGTGAAGTACTCGGTGGCGGCGGCCAGGACGGACCGGTGCGCCCGGTACTCGCGGGCCATGCCCGCGCCGCCGAAAGCCAGCGTGATGTCGCAGTACAGGCCGTGGCGGCGCTGCTCGTTCTGCCGCCAGGCCACGTCGGAGCAGTGCGCCGGGCACCCGAACTCCTCCGCCTCAGCCTCTCCATCCGCCGCGCTCCCGCGTGGGGCCCCGCGCTCCGCCTCGGCCGCCGTCGGGCCAGGACCGGGGCCGGGACCGGGGCCGGGGCTCGGACCGGGCTGCGGCTGCGGACAGGCCGCGGCCGCCGCCATCTTGTCGGACATGGCGGGCGGGGCGCGGCGCCGCCCCCTGGCGGAGGGAGCGCGCGCTGCAGGGCAATGGTGGCGACACCGTGAGGGGAGCGGCTGCCAGCGCAGCGCCCGGGACCCGCCAAGATCCCTCGGCGCGGCACCCCACGAGAGCCCGCCTTCCCTTCACTCGGGACCCCCCATACAGCCCGGGAGCCCCCGGGACGGCCCGGGACACCGCGTCCCCCTCACCCCGGACCCCTCGGGACTTTGCCGTATTTCCCGTCCCCTCAGGCCAGGACCCGCCGGATGTCCATCCCCTCAACCCGGAGTCCTCAGGACCCACCCGGATCTTCATCCCCTCAGCCCGGACCACTCGGGACTTTGTCGTATCCCCCCTCCCCTCAGCCCAGAGCCCCCGGGACCCTCCTGGATCTCCATCCCCTCAGCCCGGAGCCCCCAGGACCCCGCGTCCCCATCGTGGCAGGGCCCCGATGCCTCGGGCCCTTTCCACTCGGAGCCTCAGGCAATCCTCATCCTTTTCTTCTTCCTGGCGTGCCCTCCCTGCACCTGGGCAATTAGGAATTCTCTCACTCCATGGTACATTGGGTTTTTAATTACAACGCAGTGAGGTGTATAGGTGGTTATTTCATGTTTGCTATACACACAGTGCAGTTCTCTAACTCTTGTACAATGGTATCAGAACTAGCTTGTGTCCTTCTGTTTATTCTCTACTTAAGTTTTATCTTTTTGACCTTTTTCCACCCAAGGTGAAGTCTGCCTGCAGTTTGATTTGTATTTCTCCCCTTTTAAATCACCTGAAACAGACCCTGAAGAGTAATTGCTTTGAAGGTTATTTTGTTAAATGACAACTTGTCACATCCCCTTAGACACTGTTTAGGGACAACTCACAGAAATCACACATGGAAAAATAATAAATTAGTAACGTGTATTTATTTGCGTTTGGTTACAGTACACAGACAAGGAGGACACTGAAATTATTACTGAGATATTTTTGCAGCTGCAGATTACATGAGTGACAGCGCACAGAGCAGCAGTCAGAGTAAAGGAGAGGTTGTTTGCATAAATACAGACACTGGAGTACAGGGATTTCACAGTTTTCACAGCAGTATGTTACAACTTTACACTTTAAATTACTACACCAGCTTGAGTAACATCGGTTATACTTTAGCAGTGGTCCCAGGATTCAGGTACAGTCAGACCAAGGACAAGAACATGATAAACAAATTGAAAAATAACAGGTAACAAAAAAAAAAAATCCAAAGTGATGGCTTATGGGAATGACAGGCACATTCCCCTCATGGGAAAGGTACAGCTTGTTACCAGAATTCAGTAAGGCATACCTATGAGCCAAACTCTACCCCCCAAACCCTAAATCACTTCTGGAAAAGAAATGAAATGAGAATAGAAAAAAATAAAAGTGTGAGAGATGGTATTAAATACAGCAGGTAACAGAGGGAATAGCACAAGTTTTGGTTTTATTAGAGTAAGTTTCTATCCTTATAAAACAGTTGCTTTGCACAGTTTGACCAGGCAGCTCGATGTCTCTGTCCCTATAATCATTCTTTACACATCACAGTCCCACTGTGGCTGTCCCCTGGCCAGGTTTCTGTCCTGGTGCACTCCAAGGCACCAGCAGCTTCTCACATGGTCATGTGCTCTGGTAGGACATAGGAGATGTCATCCCAGGGGTGACGGTACAGACCCTGCTTCAATCTCTTCTGGTCCAGGTAGTGCCCTGAAAGGAGAGTGGCTTATGTTACAAAATCCCCATCCCTCCTTTTAAGTCTTTGCCTTGAGTTGGATTTCTGAATCCTCCTGGGTTTCAGGTTTTTCTGGTGTTCCTGAGGCAGGGCAGCCCCAGGAGGAGGGAAGGAGCAGGGAGGATGTGGTAAACTCACCAATGAATCCCATACTCCTGCCCAGCACAAAGATGCCATTGAGAGCTCCTATATCAATATATTCATCTGCTTCTTCCCTGCAAAACAAAGGAAAATGATTCCTTAAGATGATGATTACCAGGAGCCA